TATTGGTGTTTTACAAACACGCGTCAGCATGCGCGCCACCCCTCGACAGGTTGAAATACCGAAAATGACTCAGCCACTCTGCTACAGTGGCAATATTGGCACGCCCATCTGACAGCGACTTTGACGCCATACAAACGTTCCATGATTTGACCAAATAATGAAGAATCGGTGGGTTTATTTACTAAATAGTGACACTTTATCATCTTGAGCAGTTGTTTGGACTTAAAACGAACCAATAACTAACAATGAGAGGATGTCAGCATACGCTCTCCTCTATATCTTCAAACATGGGTTATTTATTTCAATATCATGTTCATTGTGTATCAGATAGTACGCTCTAGGTACCTGCTGTTTACAATCAAAACTTCAACGTATGTTAAGCCAGTCTGAAAACGTCGGCAGGTTAATCACAAAATGACGCAGGTGAATGCGGACAAAAAGTGACCTACACTACAGGGGCGGCGCCACGGGTTTTGAGTCGAAGGGGTCAGGATTTTCCAAGGGACCCCCTCGGAAAAATCCGGCTACCTCACACGGAGGTCTCCTGCGAAGTGTGTTGAGGCGAAGGACATATAGGGCATACTCCGCTGCTTATCAAACTGTTACATGCGTAAGCCCGATAAACGTAGCGAATTTTGCGGCATTTATTACCAGACGCAACTGCCCAACTCCACGCCCGCACCGGGCCGGCGCCCGCACTTTGCTCCCCTGCGCACGGGGGCCGGGCCATAGGTCGCCTACCAAGCGGCCGACATACTGCGAGCCAGTGACCGCCCGGGTCAGACCGCCCCGGGCGCCGCGACCTCCGACCGCCGAGCGGACCGGACGCGCCGCGCGGCCGGGGCAGGGGTGGGGCAACACAAGTAACACTGTTACGCATACATAATATTCAAGCGAATAAATGTATACACTAAAGAAGTCTAGAATGGGATCTTCCATTGAGAATGGGGCCTTTTAATTGCCCAGGAAATGGTCTCGCTAGCATAAAAGAGGGTCTCCTGTTCCAAAGGGCTCCCAATGCATAAAAGCCTTCTAATCCAGAACAGGATGCTTACGATTTACGAAGATTGCGATTTACGATTTATCCTCATCTAACCAAGGGGCACCGCTATCCAAAATATGGCATTCTGATCCGGATCCACCGCCATCTGATGTATGAAAGGGGCCTCCTGTTCCGGAGACGGGTCCTCATCAGTATAGAGGATGCCTCCTAAGCACAACCAGGGACCTCTTAGTGTGTACTTCCCCTCTGCCCCCTTCCAACTTCCCCTCTGGTCCCCCCCCCCCCCCCCCCTGCTGCGCCGTCTCCGCTCAGCTTCATCAACTGCCAGGTGTCCCAGAAAAAAGAAGACTAGCATTTTCCTGAACGACAAGTACATTTGTCGCACAGTCGCGACTGCTGTGGCATTTGGCTGTCGATTCAATAGCAAAACACAAGCTGCGCCATTGGTATTTAGAGATTCCACATCCATCAAATAGTGTCTACAAGTGACGCTCCAGATCGAGTACCTTCAAACCCCGGTTCCTGGGTCCCGGATGCGCAACATCTGAACCTGCTGCATGCTGTCGGTTTTTCTGCCCATCTTGTCGATTGTGGTGCAACCCGATCTCAAGCCCGAAGGCGGCTTTGTGCTATTGAAGGTTCGCTGGTTTGTCCACGTGGGCGTGGTTCCTGAGATTACCCCACGGCAAGTCCAGTGGCGACGGGTCGGGCAGGTGCGAAGCCAATCCAAGGCAGTCTTAAACTGATGTGAATTCCAGGAAAATGCTCCTCCAGCCAATTTAGTGAAGCCCGTGCCTTGCGCGGTGTGGTCCCGTCCTGTTGGAGCTACTTCTCGTCCAGATCAATCCCGTGAAGTCGCTTGAGGGCCGCCCAGAAGGATATCAGAGCGGTAAGGATGTGGCACTCTTACGGTGTTGACAGGAGCCCAGCTCTTTCCTTCAAGGCATCTTCTGCAGAGGCATAATTGTTGAAGGCGAAATGCTGGTGATTGTCATTACTTTTTATCATGATTTATCATTGAATGGTCATTTCAATGCCCACAGTCAAGGTTGTTCAAGAAATGCATTAAGTACTGTGGAGTAAAATGCGGGTGAACTTTTGTCTCGGCCACCCAGAAAACAACAGCTTCACACAGAAACAGACCGTTTGCTTCATCTGTGTACTGCTTCTTTGTAAATCTGGTACAATTGTATTCTTAAAGATACAGTTAACGGCACATTCGGGATACCTCACTCGCTGCTCCGAACAAACATTTGCACGGAGAAAAGAATATGTTAGTACCATTGCGTGCACACGACTGGGATCACAAGGTGCACACACCGCGCTTCGATATAAGGGCTGCTTTCTTAGGAAACTTGGTATGTGCCAATTTGTAACGCGTTATGGTGGGGCGGTCATTACTTTTTTGCAAATTGGTTCAAAATTTTGGATTGAATATGTTTCCGGGATGAGTGCCCACGATAGGCACAGCTTATTGCATGACCCTTGACCCCATTACTCGATCGTAAAATGTCTGATCAACGGCAGAATTTAGTGGCCAAAGCTTCACGCTGTGCTCTGATGCGAATAACTGTTACGAAAAAAAATGCTGTGCGTTTAGCGTATAAACTATCCGGGTGGTGTTAAACGATTAAAAAACTGGCCATGAGCACAGCTTTAAAATGTCAGGTTTTCTCAATATAACAAATTATTTACGCTGAGGCGGTTCAGTTACGACCTCCTGGTATGCTGAACATCGATTGTTCTTACAAGAAAACTCCCGCCCACGAAGCCTAGGGACCATGAGTTCAAAGCCTCTCTTGCTTGTAGTGGGCGAGACCATATTTTTGGACCATGTCCAAATACTTGTGGCAAGCAAGTTTTGCGTTTCACAGAAACCAAGATTATCGAGTTTGGACTACATTTTATGGACTTAACGATGAGATCAGTATTCTAGAGCTGTGATTCTGACTTTGCCCGCTAGGCGTGTGTGGACGTGGACATGTGCGGTCACCTGTTCTTCGATTCTGTGCGACCCCGCCGGGTTAGGCTCGCGGATGATTCACTCCTTTCCTCACCTTTAATCACCCATCCGATCGCGCTTGCCAACCTCTTGTGCGCATTGTTGGTTTAATGAGACCCTCCATGCACCCTATTGGCGGGATTTAGGGAGTGCTAGTTGGGTTCATCTCTTGACATATAAACTGCACATCGGTCTCCCCAAGCAGTTACAGCGTCGCGCAGGCGTTGTGTGCACTGACAAGATCTGAGCAGAAGATCTACTGTTCATCACGGTTTTTGGTTTTCAAAAAAGTTGAAAGTATCTCCTCTATGATCGTGCGTTGGTCTCTACATCCCTTCTGCTGGGCATGATCACCGGCTGGGTGACAGCTCGCGTGATCACCATCATCACGATCATGCACGTGGGGTGGGGGTTAGTCACACCAGCAACTTGCGCAGGTACTTGTTTACCCTTAGCATTTTACATCAAGGACATCTTTTCAATCATAGAAGTCCCCGAGTATCCCCGCATTTGAGTGCCAGAATAGGTGAAGTAGGACTCGTTACGATGTATCCGGTCTGTTTGCTGGACATTTGTCCTTGGACAAGTTACGAATGCGGCTCTTCTGACGTACCCTTTGATTTACAGAAGCCGCTGAGGCCTCTGTGCGCCCTTGCCATATGACTGCGATATGCAAAAATGTTTCGCTAGCAGGCGCTGCAATATGGCAACCGTACCTTCGGTCGCCTTTACCAGCCGCCGCCCAAGTTCTCGAATCATTTTCACTAGCTCTCAACTGTCTCCGGTGTGCTCAAGGTGCCTTCCGGTCTTCAGATTCCTTACGATATTGTAAGTGAACGCTTGGACCAATCCAATATCTTAAAGTAATCCGCAACAGCAGATTTGGAAACCCCAGAACTGTTTTGCGCGGATGTTGCGATAATTTCGCCAAACATCCTTTCGTTAAGAGATACCGCCATCTTAACGCTAGGAGGACGAAGAGATGACAGAGACTAACTATTCATACAACTAGTCTAGTATTCATTCGCAGTCGCACATGGGAAAAAGCCAAAAGTTTTCCTGGTTACAAACACACTTAGGCTTTTTAAAAATCTTGCGTAGCATCAGCTTCAAATGTAAAGTCATCCTCAGCATCAAAATTATTTTGTAATGGAGCAAATGTTTTAGAATTGTATTTACTTTGAACACGGAGGCCCAAATTATAGGCGCTGAAATTTGGGAGTTAAGACTCGGTGTAGGCTAGACAAACGTTATCGGCTCATCCCCCCCCCCCCACGGGTTTAAGGAAGTGTCACTCCGGCTTCCCATGCCTTACACGTCTTTCAAAGTTCATTGACCTGTTCACGATGACAGGCTTTGGCGAGTGGTTTTATGATCGCATCAGAGCCTTCGAGCCCTGCCATCTGCCCCCTCCTGACGTGGAATGGTCCCGCGGTGTAGATCAGGTATGTCTGATGATCCGCATAATTTCGAATAGCCCAACTATTGCAGCCAGGTGGTCTTGTTTGTTTCCTCACGCCCACCAGCCTTTGGGAAAACACTGTGTAACTGGCCAAGTTCCGCGCAAACACGACCGTTTCGCAAATGGACAGCTCTGACCTGACGTGCATTACTCGCCTGTTTTTCCTTGGGACGAAACAAATTCATGATGAAAATAGTTCAGCAGCCTTTTTGACTGATGAGAAGTGTTTGTTCATTAAAACTAATAGAGATATCCCTGGACAAAGCCTCGCTGGAAAATGTGAAAAAGGTGCATTGGAATGGGTTAGAGAAAACGAGTCTGTCCACTGCAGGCAAATTGATTGCCTACAAGCCGACAAACAAAATGCGAGAAGGCTGCAGACGTGGAATGTTTCTGTTTGGCCTGCTCACACTCCAAGCAAAACCCACATCGGGTATTGGGCTGTATGCGAATGTAAACGATGAGTGCACGCGTTGTACATAGGCGAAGCTTGAACACCTGCAGGTAGACACGTGTGTCGATTCCTTTTGCAGACGCACCGGATTGCAAGCAGTTTCAGAAACGGTCATACGAGACAGCCCGAGGAGAGACAGTGAACGTGACTTGCGAAGTCAACTCGTTCCCGCCACCTAAAAGCTTTTTCTGGGCGTTCAACTCAACAGGTGCGTCGAATCTTTTCAGTGGACGACATGTCCTAAAGATGTTCTCAAACATCCATAATTATGATTTTTTGCAACAACCTACTACTTTGGTACGTGAAGCTTCGCAACTTTTCTTTTGCTAAACATATGTGACTTAGTGAAATAAAATTTACTAATAGAGAGAGAGAGAGAGAGAGAGAGAGAGAGAGAGAGAGAGAGAGAGAGAGAGAGAGAGAGAGAGAGAGAGAGGACATTTACTCTCTCCCCCTCTCTTTCTCTCTCTCTCACTCTCTCTCTCTCTCTCTCTCTCTCTCTCTCTCTCTCTCTCTCTCTCTATCTCTCTCTCTCTCCTCTCTCTCTCTCTCTCTCTCTCTCTCTCTCTCTCTCTCTCTCTCTCTCTCTCTCTCTCTCTCTCTGTGTCTCTCTCCCTGTCTGTCTCTCTCTCTTCCTCTCCATACTCTGTTACTCCGTCCTACATAGTCCACTACGCCTTAATATTTTTCGCTTCGAATTCACACATAGCCAGCGGGCATGTACTGGTAAACCCATTTCGAATTGGTTTTGCTGTCACATGGCAACCAGCCCATTCACACAAACTTCAAGGACTCCCACGGAATCCACCGTAAGCATTGCTTTTGTCACCTAATTGCCGTCTTTCATCTACCAGTGCTTATCGCCACTGTCTGGCACAGTTGTATCCCAGGTGAAATACTCTTCTTCAACGGTCCCTTCCAACACCATCTGGAGAAAGTACCCCCCCCCCTTCCCCCCAGTACCTTACTGCCGCACCTCATAAGACCACCCGTCCCACCCGCTCTCGCCAGTCACTCCTCGTGAGACCACCCGTCCCTCACGCTCTCGCCAGTCACTTCTCGTGAGACCACCCGTCCCTCGCGCTCTTGCCAGTCACCGCTCGTGAGACCACCCGTCCCTCGTGCTCTCGCCAGTCACCGCTCGTGAGACCACCCGTCCCTCGCGCTCTCGCCAGTCACCGCTCGTGAGACCACCCGTCCCTCGTGCTCTCGCCAGTCACCGCTCGTGCGAGCGTGCCGTTGGCCCCAACCGCGGCGCCGCTCACGGCCCGCCGTGCCTGCAGACGTGTACACAGAGCTGCCGCCGAGCCGGGTGCGCAGCAGGCAGGGCGTCAGCGTGGCCAGCGTGTCCGCCCAGAGCACGCGCGACTACGGCACGCTGCTGTGCTGGGCCGAGAACACGGTCGGCCGTCAGGCGGAGCCGTGCGTGTTTGCCCTGAAGCCGGCCGGTGAGTCAACGCCGGCCGACGCGCGCACGCCGACGTGGCGTTCGCCCCTGTGCGCTCACCCCTGCGACGGTTGGTAAGAGAGATCGTTGTCATTGGGGCTTAACAACGCCTCAGCTGCTGAGGCTACATGGCGTTGCCTGCCTCTCATCCTAGCAGAAAGGGCTGGCACCGCGGGGAAACAAACCCCGTACCTCTGGTAGAGAAGATCGGCAATGGTGAGGTGCTGAGGAGCTCTCTGGGGATTGTGTCTGTATGCTGTTATGTTATCTGACGCAGTTGTCATGTGTCAAACGTATTCGTAACTGAGTCGGGGCGATAGCTACGGTTCCGGTCAGGTGGGTACCGGGGAATCTGTCGCCCTTTGTTGTCTCGCTTGTACGAACAAACTAGATCATCGCTACCCACAAGCTCCTCGAAACACTGATCACGTTTTTCGTTTTGTGTGAATTTGTGTCGCTTCAGTTTGTGGTTTTGTTCCCGATTGTGTGCTGTTTGTCTTGGCACCCCGAAGAGCCATGTTGTGAAAGGGAAGATGAATGTGTGAAGCTAAAAGGTTACACGGATCTCCCTGAGCAAGCGCCGTTTATTCAAACCGCGAACTGATTTTACTGACTTCCGCTGCAGCCATGTAGCCGCGGTCTTATCACGCTGGGCCGGTTTGCCCTATTGCTGTTATAAATCGAAGCAACGCTGCTTCCGAGGCTCTGAAATGGCCCAAGGAGTTAAAACGGCCGTGCTATTTTGGGCCTCATGCTTGAGCCTTTAGGCTGAACATGAAATATTGATTTGATGGAACTGAAATGATAGGGTGCATGGGAAACCAGCGAAATTTTTAACCCGCGCTCAGCCGGTTGGTTGAACACCACACGCTGGGGTGGATATGCGACGGGAATAACAATTTGATACGTTCTTGAGATCTCAAAATTTGGTGAGCTGTTGACATCAAGTGCGTAGGATATGTTCTATGTGAGCTCATTCATGTCAAATTGGTGCGTCTTTGAATTATGACCCCCGGGTTGAACAGCCCGGAATAATGCCCAAGCACAGAATGGTGTTTGAAGTTGATTCAGGGGTCATCACGCAATCAGCATTAATCTGGATATTTGTTCCAAGCATAAAAGTGATTTGGGTCATATCACGTTAGGGACCTTTCTAAACTTAAAAAGGCAAAAGGACCGAAACCTTCAAGTTTATTTTGGTAATTGACACCACGTCATGATCAGAAATCCCCCTAGTCGCGAAATTGCTCAGAGAAATATATTGATAGAGGCCATTCTGGGTCAATGATTTCCACTGACTTCCATGAAGTACAAGCAAGGTAACTCTTGACATCCTCGTGATCCTGTTGCTAAAACTGGGCGTCAAAAAGGTCCCCGTAAAGTAAGCTTTCTGACCAAAAGCTGCGTGGCTTAAACCTAAATCTGACCTCAATGTCAGACCGAAGGTCAGTGTTTTTATCCGTAATACTGGTGTGAATAGTCTGACTATTAGTTGTTTATAATGAGATGTGCAACATTGCTATATTTTGTAGGTCTAATATATTTGCAGTATGTTAGACCTACATTTATATCCTTACGTCTTTTCTTGCATGCCTGCAGCATGTCTATTCTTAACGCTGTGATAGCCAAGGGTGTATGTTGGTCAAGCGATATTGCGCGCTCCTATACGTATTGAAAATGCACACTTCCTCAAACCTTCCGGGATGAGTGCACCGGTGGTAATATGCTTCGTACTGTGTGCTTTCGAAAGTTATGAGAAACGATACCGCTAGTATCGTTTGCACATATGCCCAAGGCGTCGAAGTTTGAAATGTGCTGAAGAATTCCAAACTAACACAAGTTATTCAAGGCAACAGAAGGTTCGGAAAATCGGGTACGTGCTCTTAGCGGACTTCCTCGTACTCAGAGACGTGATCAGCATCCGATCTCTTTCAAGTAGGAACATGTGGCCCACAATACCACAATCGTTGAACTGAACTACCCGTTTGACGCCGCTTTGGTGCTGCGTGGCATTTAATGGTCGTGACAGGATTATTTGGTCTCTGACAGATGATGGGCTGGCTCGCGCTCGTACACAGGACCTCTCGTACGCTATCCAGATACCCATTGGCCCCGTATCGAGACTACGGTCCACATCGCTCCACGCTCTGTCCTCCTCCCCATCCTCTCGGGAGGAGTCGTCCGTCTGCTGTCTACTGATGGGAGATCGTTCCCGTGGGCCGACCGTCCGACCGGGCACCCCTCCCTCCCCCTTGCGCCTCTCCTGCTCGCGCCGCTCTGGCCGTCCGGCCGGCCCCCCCCCCCTCCTCCAGCCAACCCCGCGCCTCTCCTCTCCCCGCTCTGGCGTCCGACCACGTGCCTCCCTGCCTTTCCCCCTTCCGCTCCTCTGGCTGAGTGACACAAGCCCTCTGGCTTACGCCTGAGGGGTGGATCTGACGGGCCGTCGAGAATGATGCTCAACTGGCAAGATTCGCTCGTTTATTATCACAAGGCACATCATCACCGTTGCCGTCTCATCAAAGGTGAACACAGCCAAATGCACTGCAATTAGCAATGCACGCAAAAGTGCACGGCGCTAATCTCGAGTGCCTCTTGTCTGGTGAAGGTCTCGTGGTGAAGGAATTCTGCGGCCACCACTCTGGAACACCAAGTTACTTTAACAAGAAAGCACTTCTGCCAAGGCACACTGTGAGCACGTCATGCGCATTGGAAGATGAATGTTATTTGGAAAATGGTAATAAACTAATCACAGAAGCCCGAAGCTGCTGCAGCAGCTAGCAGCAGCACCTGCTAAGCTGCTGCTAGTTGCGTGTGCATCGAACCCACCACCAAAGTCGTGCCGTCCAGTTTAACAGTTCAGTTTGCCTCCGTCCTTTCGCCAGACGGGAATGCGGAGGTTTTACGTGTCACACCATGCTGCGACATGGCCAACCCGGGCCTCGCTTGACCTTCGGTGACCAGTTGCCTGCTGACCTTTCCATTTCAGTCAATCTTCCAAGCCTCTCAAGTACGCGCAGTTTTGATTTTCTAACGATGGGTTCGAAGCAAGTGTTCATCGGTGTAAGGTAGTGTTAACAATCCGTCGTCCGGTAGGGCGTGTTTCTGTGTCCTACCATCCATCCCCAAGCGTTCTAGATCTGTTAACCTTTTCAACATTATGCCTCAAATTTGTGGAGAATGTACATGACCCAACAGCGAAGCAGATGTTTTGTTTATGCTTTTTCTCCTTCACAACTTGATGTGTTGTCAAGTACCCTATAAAACTTGTTACGAACAATATTGTACTTAATGGAAGTTGGATACCCAGATTCGCAGTGCAGAATCATACCAGAGTTGGTGAGATTGATAAAGAGCTCCGTGTCTAACGGCGTGCGGTTGTTCATCAATTCAACCGCCACTGCTGCGTGCAAATATGGGATAACTGAAAACTAC